AGCCAACAGCACAGAGGCCAGAGGAGGGCGGGACGCACCCACAGGGTGCGGGTGTCTCCTGAGGSCAGCCGTACCTGCAGCCACCACCGAGCAGCACGGCCCCGGGGACCCTGGCCTTCCTCCCTGAGGCCCGCTGGGGTCTCCTCTTACTCCCCCAGACCCCAGCTGCTCTCAACTCTGCAGCAGAGGGGTCCTCGGAGCACAAATCCCATCAGTCAAGCTCCCCTGCCTAGAAGCATTCAGTGGCTTCTCTTCGAGGCCAGCAAGCCTGCTGCTGACCCTGTCCCCTATGTCCCAGGCTATGTCACATGGAGCCTCTGGGGTGTGCAGGAACCAGCTCCTCCTTGCCTGCGAGAGCCACTGGCAAACTCAGGGACATTTCCACAGCTGGACGTCAACCACGGGGGACACCCTGCACATCTGAGAAACCAACCAATGCCAAACACCAGGCTCCTTTTCTTGGAGAGTGGATGGACCAGGCCACGGYGGCCCCGTGCCCACGGCACCATGTGGTCACAGGGTCCTCGTGCATGCTCCTGCCCTGTCTGGGACGAGCTCTTCTCCTTCCGTGCTGAGCCAGCGCTGCTCTCGAGACCTTGGCACAACTGTCACTTCTCCCGGGAAGCTTCCTCTGATGTCTCTGAGTAGGTTAAATCCCTGTCACAAGTGTTCTCTTCTTCGCTTGTGTCGCACTTAGGATTCTACCTGTGGGAGGGATGATGACTCGCCGTCTTCCCTGAGGGACTGATCTCTGCATGGCGGGAGGGACCAGCCTGGGCCCGTTCACGACCAGGGCTCTCTCGGGGGCTCAGCTCGCTGGTGGTACCCACTCACCACAGCGGCCCAGTGACTGAGCCACTTGGAGAAATACACACCACACGAAGAACCCTGGGCTCTGGCTTCTGCAACAGACCACTCTGGCTCACGCACGTCCTCCCCCTCACTCCCCAGCCGCCTGCCGTGAGGTTTGTCCTGTTTCCAGATTCTGGCCCACGGAATGGAGCACTCCATCGACTCCACTTCTACCAGGGCCTCGAAAATGTCACCACTGTGGGTTCTCCTCAGTGTGGCTGGAAGCAAAGGAGGCACAGGACTGAACCATCCTAGATTCCGAAGCCACCGATTGGAGRAGAGTGTCCTGTGCGCGACCCTACCCTCCTTGGAGGTAGACAGCAGGGAGATAGACTTTTTAAAAAATTGGTTCTTTTCAGTTATACATGAAGATCGACTTTGACATTTGCAAGTAAATGGGTGGAGACTATCATGCTCAGTGAAATAAACTAGTCCCCCAAAGCCAAAGTCGCATGTTTTTGTGGATACGTGGAAGCTAACCCATAGTAAGCAGGGTGGGGGGTGGARAATAGATATTCAGTAGATTAGACCAAGGGGAAGGCGGGGAAGGGAAGGGGATAGAAAAAGGAAAGGCAGTGGAATGAATCTGAGATACATTTTTAATGAGGGTTTGCAGGCTTATTTGTTACTGCAGCAAGGCCCAACTTACTCTGACCTAAAACACCTACCCAGCTTCTTATCCTTCTACTTTTGGGGCAAGCTGCAATCTCTCTGGAGCTCAGTTTCCTTACTGGTAAAATAAAAGGCTTTCAGAAAGTGATCGCCAAACTCCTTCCAATGTTCAAATTCAATCGTTCTGTTTGCACGTCTCCCGCTCTTCTGGCACCATATGCAGACACCATAGATGTTTGCTAAACAAGAGAACCTTCTATATAGCTGGGCACGGCATAACAAGTGTGTGTGAGTCGATGAGRGTCAGCAGGTACAATGATTATCCCTTAAAATCATAACAGAGCTGGAGAATTCCTATCCCTGAGTGGTGTCTCTAGCTAAGAAGACTTCGTGGAGTATATGCCTTCCTCTGTTTGTAGTGATGCTAGTATAAATGAACCTCTTGTGCCACCAGTCACATTAAAGTGCAACACATAGACTGTGTACAGAACATAATACTTGAAGATGAAAATAAACCACGGTCACTGCTTTATGTATTATGTTTTATGRTTATTTTAGAGTGCACCCTTACTTAGTAAAAAAGAGTTTGCGGTGGATCAATGTGCTGGACTACGTGGACGGCAGCCTTACCCATTTGCTGTGGCTGTGTTCCTGGATCGCATGGACAGGCCTGAGCCCTCTAGGTCTGTGTGAGAAGACTATCGTGTCCCCACAACAAAGGAGTTCCCTAATGATGAGTCCCATAGTCAAGAGATGCTTAACAGTATTTGAAATCTTTTCTCCCAGATCAAAGAAMTTTAATACCTTAGAAATCCAGTGATGGCTTCAGAACATCCAGACATCCAACAAGCCCAATATTGATCAAAATAACAATGGTGACATTTCATCAGGAAGCGCGGGAGGCTCCAGGGATCCACCCCTCAGCCCTGCAGGAGCTCCCCAGCATCTTGCCCTCGTCTGCCCTTGGCAGCCTGGCAGCCCCCACATTCCCAATTATCTGCAGGCCACATCCTCAGTCTCTCACCCCCTCCCCTCAGCTGCCTCTGTCAGTAGATGTGATCTCAGTTTTCAAAGGAACCCACTGACACTTTTTCTTAGAGAGTTGTCATTAAAGGTCCCCTCCCAGAGATAGTAGCAAGAAGCATAAGTCACTCTTTGATGAGACAGAAGTGCAAGGATGCCCGGTCGGATGGCAAAGGCACCTCAGAATCTGCAGGACTCTTTTCGGGGTCCAGCCTTCCGGGCTKCAATCTGCCACAGATTCACTGCCTTCCAGAGAGGCAGGCTCCTCTTCCTGGGCTGGGGTCCTCTTATAAATGAAGGCCACTGCAGCTGCCTGCATCCTGGTAACCATAGTAACCGGGGACCACAGGCAGGTGTCTGATCTCTGCCAGACATTTTCTGATATTAAGTGCTCTTTACCCTCCCCCCTACCCCTATCCCGGATCCTGTTCAGATTTGTGGCATTAAGGGTCTCCCAGGGGGAGCAGCCCAGGCCCTGGAGACCCRGAGCTGAAAGCATTAATTAAACCACTTATTTCCCCAGAACATTTTGCATTTGCCAGGCCTGGCAGCCAAGGAAGACCTCCCAGGGAAGCTCAGATGAGAGGGAATGCTAATTCAGACACCAGGGACTGCGGCACTTCAGGGCTACAATCAGTAGCAAATGGGGCTCAGCAGGACAATATGTCCGGTATACAGCAGGCACACAATCAATACTTGTGGAAGAGCCAATTTAATAAAATGGAGCTCACACAGCAAATGGGGTTCCTTATGAGCCATAAAAGTCCTGTGTGAGATTATCATGTGAGTCGTTCAACTGTTATTGAGTGCCTACTGCATGCACCCACGGATGGTGACAGGGAGATTCTAAAGATGTCAGCTTGTTGGATGAATCCCAACCCTCTGGGAGCAGTCATGTTGGGAAATGCATTAAGAGGAGACTGGAGGGGTTAGCAGGGACTGTGTCCCTAAGGGCTCTGGATCCCAGTTGTCTCTGGGGTATATCCCTGGAGAACCTTTAAAGCTATAGTGCCTATGACTGACAGGATCAGTGTGACATTTCAGAAACACCCTTTTGGATGTCCCAAAGGAAAAGAATTAGAGGAACCGYATTGCTTTGGCCAAACATTGTAGTGGCTCTTCGACTTTTGAACCCAGGCCTTAAACTGGCAGTTGACCCTCTTCCTTTTGGAACCTGCCCACCATGCTGTGAGACGCTTCAGCTACAGGGACAAGCCACCTGGAGGAGAACAAAAGTGCACCCCTTGAAGAAATGCATAGCCCAGCTGGGACCCCCCTACAGCCGCAGCAACTGCCAGCCACGTGAGGGAGCCAGGGATCATCACAGCCSGCAAACCACCCAGCTGAGCCCAGGCAACCCACAAAATCATGGTAAATAGAAGAATCAGTGTTCTGAACCACTGAGTCATGGGGGGTCTTTTTCTGCAGGTAACTGGCAAATAGGTAGGGCGTGGGCTGGTATGGAACCAGGCTGTGATGGCATCCACAGCTCAGCAGCAAAGGTCTGGAGGGGAGGTCACGGACTCTGGGGTCAGCAGCTTCACGGGAACTTGTGGACGGAATCCTCTCTGCCCCTTCCCATACGCACCTGGCGTCTGCCGAGTGAAACACTCCGAGTGACCAGAGAACAAAAGCCCACTATCTCTAGACAGTCCCCACGTGCCGAGGAGTCCAATTCCCCTGCCCTCGAAGACCACTTTTATTCTCCCTCTTCCTGAATCAAGGGTGTCCCAGCTGCTGAGGCAGATCCTCTTTGTCCTCCAAGGACAAGTCCTTCTCTTGAGGGTGGCCTTGGAATCTGGGTGCAAAATGACCCTGTTTCTGTCTCCTCTCAGCCTGGCCTCTCCATGGCCATGAACAGGAGCACCCCTGCAGATGGGAGTAGGTCACAGAGGCCAACTGTGGCCCAGTCCAATGGGACTGCAGATCTCAGAGGGGCTGTGCCCACCTTCAGCAGGACACAGGACAGTCTTGAGCCAGAGCAAGTGCTAGCCCTCTGCCTGCTGCCCCACTCTTCCCTCTGGGGGAGAGGAACCTCAGCCCCTTGTTTACATGTCAGCAAAGCGCCCCCCCCCCTACACACACACACCCTTCTCTATGTTGTCACCTCCAGGACAGCCCCTGGAGGAGAAAGAGGATGAGCAAAAATTGAGATGTCTCTTAAAGGGAACCTTTAAAGACAAAGTCGCAGGCCTGATTCCTGCGCTCCTGCGGTGCCACCTCAGCGAGGTCCAGTCTCTCCTAGGGGCCCAACGGTCCCCAGAGACAGTCGGAGCTTCCTTCCACCTGGAAGGCCCGGGCTGCTGTTGGGTGGGGGTCCGGTCACATGTTGGCGGGAAGGGGGGGCGGCTGATTGACGCGGCTCGGTGTCAGCCTCCTCTCTGACGTCCTCGCCGCCGTCCTCCCTCCCTCTCTCCCTCGMTCCCCGCCCCTCTGGCGGCGGGAGAGCTGCTGGCTCGCGGGGACCGGCAGCTGCTTAGCGGCGGGCGGCGGCCGGGACCCGGGGTGGTGCGAGACGGCCGGACCGAGCCCCGCGCSGGGAGCAGGCACCATGGTGCTGTCGGTGCCGGTGATCGCGCTGGGCGCCACGCTGGGCACCGCCACCAGCATCCTYGCGCTGTGCGGGGTCACCTGCCTGTGCCGGCACATGCACCCCAAGAAGGGGCTGCTGCCGCGGGACCGAGAGCCGGACCCCGAGAAGGCRAGGCCGGGGGTGCTCCAGCCCGCCCAACAGGTGAGCGGCGCCTGGCCCTCCCGCGAGGCGGGGTCGCCGGGCTGCGGCGGGGACCCGGGGGCGCGGGCGGAGGTGCGGCGGCCGCGAGGCTCCCTTGGCTCCCGCACTGGGCTGGGAGGGGGCCGCGGACGTGCCCCAGGGGTCGGGGAGGCCTGGGGGGATCGGAGGGAGGTGAAGGGTAACTGGGGGTGAGGGTGCAGAGAGGCACGGAGAGGGATGGGGTGCCGCAGCGAGGGCTGAAGGGGAGGGCAGGGGAAGCCACCCGGGTAGCCATGGGGACCCAGGGGAGCGCAGGGACTTGGGGGCTGCGGGGACTGCGGGGGCCAGGGCACTCGGAAGAGGACGTGGGAGGGGCCGGGAGCCGGGCTGCAGGACCGTGGGGAAGCGACAGGTCGGGGACTGGAGTGGGGTCTGCGGAGGGAGGAGGGAGCTGGGCGGCCGCGGACCTGGGGGAGAAGAAAACCCAAAGGGAGCTGCGCCCCGCTCCCCGCCCGCGCCTCCTCCTCCAGCGGGGACTGGGGGTGGGACCGGGCGACGCCAGGAGGGGCCTCCTGTCCTCAGCTCTGCCAGCCAGGGCGGTCTCGGAAGGTCCCTGGAGCAGGAGGGTGCCCCCTGGCATCTGCTCGGTGCAGAGCTCCTTGGGGCAGGAAATGGGCTGCAGTCCCAGGGTGCCCTGCGGCAGCGGGGCCGGGAGGGGTCTAGTCCCCAGCTGTGACCTCCAGGGTGTTCTCCAGGGATGGTGCCCTATGTTCCCTGGAGGACCCCAGGAGGTGCCTGGTCAGAGTGCTTGGAGGAAGGCTGGCCCTGTGCTAGGGGGGGTGACTTAAATGACCTCCCCAGTCCCTCTAGATTCCTTCCRGAGCTCACAGGGCTCTGGGGTGGCACTCAACCTCGGGGCTTCCATCCTTTTTCCAATCAATTATTCCAAAGCCACGGGGTCCAGGTGTGCGGGGCCTGTGCCAGTCACCATACAGTGACCTGGAAAGGAAAGTGGTTTGAGTTCTTACAACTGAAGGAAAGTGGCATTGACTCTGGCTGAACCGGAGCTGCAGGGCAGTGGGACGTCAGGCTGGAATGATCTAGAAGTGGGAGTAGCGATCCCCACTGGCAGGGGTTGGAGGAACCCTTTTCCAGAAGTGATGGAGCCCGGCTGCCTCTCAAGCTCCTCTCCTGCCCAGGGCACCTAGGGACAGCCACTGTGCTGCCTTTCAGGGGTGACTCTCTGGGCACTGTGTCCTCCCTTCCCGGAGAGGACCCCTGGAAAAGCAGTGGGTTTAAGTGACCTCCAGGACCCCTCCCGTGCTTTGTCCTATTGACAACCAGTCGCTGGCTCCAGGGCTGATCATCTGCTAAAGACAAGGCAGGAAGTCTCAGCCCTAATACGATTGTCCACACATCTCATTAGATAAGTCACAGCAAACCATGGCACAGGCTCTGTGCCAGGTACTCTTACGAGTGCTTTACATTATTAATGCATTTAACAACTCGTCAAGAAGCTATGGGATGATTCCATCAAAAGATTAGGAAATAGAGGTTCAGAGAGGGTAAGTAACTTGCCCAAGGTCACACAGAGAAGTTTTAGAGCCTAGCTCTCCAGAACTGGTCTGACTTTGGAGTCCATACCCGCAGCTGCTCCACGGTGCTCCCTCACCTGCCTGATCCAGAGTGGCTCTCTCCACAGCCCGGCTCAGGCCAGTGTCCTCTTCTTTCACAGTCTCTGCCTCCCTGGTTTATGATTATTCTTATAGGACACTGAGCTCTGTCCTCCCCTCTCTTCTGGCTTTTCACACAGATGGCTTCTTCTGACCCTTTAGGTTTCTTTTGTGTTTCAGTGTCACCTAGTCAGGGAGGAGGATGCCTACTGTCATTAAAAAAAGGCGTCTCCACGTCACCCTCTCCCATACCATTGCTTCCAGATTCTTCCACAGCACTTGTGACAGTGCAGTCGGGTCTTTGGTTCTCGCCTCCTTGCATAATACTTATTCCCAGCACAGAGTAGTGTCTGGAAACCACCTGGCATCCAAGAAAAAAACTGTCACACACAACTGTATCCCAGCAGCCAGCTGGGGGTAGCTCTGTTAGCGCCTCCCAGGTGGGTGCATCCGTCTGGTGCTGGCTCTAGAGGGACACAATGAGCCTTTATTGACACATGACACCTGCCCATCCACAGTCCCCTTAGTGGTTCCCTGGGGGACACAGGATGGGGCCACCTGGGGCTCCCTCTATAGAGTGTGGCAGGCTGAGGTCTCACAATGGCTTGGTGGCAGCTTCCTTCAGCCGCTGACCCAGATAAAGTAAATAGAGGAAAGACAGCCCGTTGATTTCAAAGAAAGTCAGGYGCCTGGTGTCTGCAGGGTGGCAGGTGACGTGATCTCAGTGGCAGATGTGGACAAAGAAGACCCGGCCAGTGGTGCTCTCTGAAGATGCGCCTTAGAGAGAAAGGGCTGGGGGAGGGGAAGGCCTGGCAGAGGGGTGTGAGGTTTGGAAAGTCCCCCTCCCCCCTCCCSGAGAACTGGGCCGTCTGGGGGGACAGAGACGCCCCCGTCCTGTTGGGGAACCTCTGGGGTTTGCAGGCCGGACCTGGGAACCGGATTTCAGGCCCTGGAGGGCTACATGAAGGTGAAGGTTCCTGTGATTCTGAAGAGAACTCGGACGTCTCCCAGGGGTCTGAACCTGCTGATGGGCCTGGGGACAGTTTMCAGGGTCATGGGCTTGGATAGGAACAGCACCTTCTGTAAGAAGAAATAAAAGCCAACCTCAGTCGTCCCACCAATCCACGTGACTGTCCCCAGGGAGAGTTGTGGATGGTCCCAGACACAGGTTCTTCACCACGGGGCACACTCATCCCTAACTCGGAGTGTGAGGCCCGCCCAGGCTCCTGCCAGTCCCTGTGGGTCAACTCATTGACCAGGAAGCGCCCGGCGTCCCTTCCACCGCCCGCGTTCCTGGGCCTGGGTCCTCTCAGAGGAAGTCCTCTGCCCTGCTACCCACTGGAGAGCCAGCGGAGCCGCCCCTGCCCGTCACCCGGGATTCAGGCCTGTCTTCAGGGAGCCTTGTCTCGGGGTCCCCTTAGCCCTTGCCTTGTTGTGACCTTAAGTGTTTTTCTCAAATGCTGGAGAGGCCCCCAGGGGACCCTGATGCTGTCCCCTCAAAGCCAAGGTGCAGTGGAAGGCTCAGTAAGGTCACTCGGCCTCAACAGCGGTCACTCCTTGGGCCTCTTGCGTCCACACCGCCTGTTTCCCACTCTCAAACGGAAAAGTCCATCCTTCCAGGGAGGCAGAGCCCAGAGGGGCTTCCTATGACACCAGAATATCAATTCCAAGATTTGATGAAATAAGTGACAGATTTATATCAAACAAACAATGTGTGTACGGTGGGTCCCCTCTCCCCAGGCCAGGAGTGTGTCCTTCATTATTTATTTATGTGTTGGTGGGTTGGTGGTTATCCCTGACAACATCTGCTTGAAGTCAGGCACGTGGCAAGGTGTCTTTTGAACTCAGTCACCGTGTTGCTGTAGGAATGARCAGAACAGGGTGGTCCCCACGGGGGTGCCACCAGGGAGGCATTGACCGGAAAYCTGGAGCTGGCCCTATTTATTGGTGGGGCTCCCCTGGGGGAGCGGGGCCGTGTCCAGCCTTTGGCTGCTGCCCTGCTTGGTGACATGTGCTGGTCACATAGTGTGGTCACTCTGTGACAACGTGCCCAGCCCGGTCCGTATGACATGTGAGCTTCTCGCTACGTCGTTAGACATTGATTTTTAAAATGTCATATTAAAAACTGTCATGGAGCCACGTGATGGGTGTTTATATTAATTTAATATTTTTATGGCCAGGAGGACTTTGGGGCTGTACTTGAGAGGACCCTGTCTGCGGTCTGTTATAAGCTGCCTCCCAAGTCCTGTCTGCCGTGGTCCTGTGCCAGAGAGACGGTCCCTTGGCCCTGGGGCCTCGGCACCATCCGTGGGCGGAGGCGCCCCCCCACCCGTCCCTCTCCTGGCCCTAGACCCTGGGCAGCCCCCCACCCTCACCTTCCTCACCCTGGCAGAGCCCGGCGGCGGGCACAGGTGCTGCTCACTCATCAGGGGCGGCTGGGCACTGGTGGGCACTGGTGGGCAAAGGCTGCCGCAGAGCAAAGACAGCCCTGCTCCTCCGGATGAGCAGGGCGGGAGGGGACGATGGTTGGGCCGTGGCCGTGACCCTTCAGGGAGCCCGGGAAAGCCTCCGCCCACGAGGAGCTTCCCGCAGCTTGGGGTGATGGCCTCCCAGGCACACCTGCCCCKCATGACCACAGGTGGCCCCGGAACTGTGACCCCACCCCGGGAACTGACTGGCCCCACACCGCTGTGAGGCCACCTCTGTGGCCTCCCTTCAGCCTTTACTTGTTGGTTATGGTCGGTTTTGTTTGTTTCGCGTACTTTGCTTCTTGTGGCTGGAACCCAGGCGGAGCGCGTCCTCCCGCTGCAGCTGCTCCTGTGTTTAAAGGTCCATTCTGAGCTCACTGTGAGCCCACGTCCTGACTGATGAGCCCCTTGTCCCCACAAACACCACCAACAGCAAGAGATCTGCTCCCATAGAGCCATCCTGGTGTGAATCAGGCTCTTTGCCTGTGCGGGTCCCTGGGCGGGTCACTGTGCGGGTCACTGGGCAGGTCCCTGGGCGGGTCACTGGGCGGGTCACTGGGCGCGTCACTGTTCTAAGCACTTGAACCATATCGATGCGGACCTTCCCGATAGCCCTGTGAAATTCGCGTAGGTCTGGTTTGCACTTTACAGAGGGGACAGTGAAACTCAGAAAGCTCAGGGGCTCTTTCCAGTGGGGAGCCGGAATGGGGCGAGGGCTCTGTCTCAGGCCCACCTTGGGTCACTGGCTGGAGCTCAGGAGGAAACGACACACTCAGGGTCTCCTCTGAGCCACTGCGTCTCCGGGGAMCCGTGGGGTCCCCAGCAGGCAGTCTCGGCCTTGCCCTGCTCTGGAGAGCTGTGCCTCCTGCGCGCCCTGCGC